CGCCGCCCAAATGTTCACGCAAAGAAAGAAGGCGTAACTTTTATTCTTGCTGTAGTATTGTTGTTGCTGCCGCCATGTCCTGAAGACGCTGTGTTTCGTTGTAAAAGCGAAACTACTTTGTTTGGCCTTCCAAAAGAGGACGATATCCGCTTCGTCATGCCTTCCAAAAGAGGACGATATCCGCTTCGTCATGCCTGGAAGCGGAGTCCAGCCCGGGGTCGTCACATCAAGTCCGCCGACCGCTGCTCACTCAAGCCTGCAGTGTGTGACGCTGTGTGTTTCGTTGTGAAAGCGACATACTCTTGAGGCTGAAGTTCTTCATTATTGACGGGGTCAGAACCTTTTGGACCATATTTCTTGCCGTAGCAGGATTTGCAGTAAATTTCAAACTCAAGTGCTGCAACTGTAGTGCTGTCCAAACCTTTACGACAAGCCACTAGAGAACAGAAAGACAACTGTTTTAAAATATGACTGTAAAGACACATAAAATATAAAAAGTGTAAAATTATAAATACACTCAATTCAAACATTTGATTTTAAAAGTAGTATCTTTGGCTCAAGGCTGCATTTATTTGATAAAAATGCAGTGAAAACAGTAATATTGTGAAATATTATTACAATTTTAAATAACTTCATATAAAATAAATTTTAAGATGTATTATTTATCATAAATTGAATTTTCAGCATCATTTCTGCAGTCTTCAGTGTCACGATCCTTCAGAAATCATTCTAATATGCTGATTTGCTGCTCAAGAAATATTTATTATTGAAAACATTTGTACTGTTTGGATGCATTTTGGTTTTTTTAGCATTCTGCGATGAATAGAAAGTTCAAAAGAACAGCATTTATTTGAAATAGAAATATTTTTGCAACACAAAACCTCTTGTTGAAGCTGTTGCGAGAGACGGAGTGTAAAGTTGGAGCGTGGTCTCACGGCTCCTCCAGAGGGCTGTCTGCGTTCGTCAGCTGTAGGGTTGCCAGGTTTTCACAACAAAACACACCCATTTGCTACTCAAAACTAGCCCAATCTCATTTTGAGGGGGGCTCCCCATTAAAAATCACGTTCGGGGGTAAAATACACGTTTTTGGCGGGGTTCCCCTGGTAAAATTTGCACTCCAGGGGTTAAATATCACGTTATCGGGGTCGCTTTAACCCGCGTACATGAAAAACAACCCGCGGCAACAGTGATAAAGTAGCCCAGATCCGCGGGAAAACCGCGGACTTGGCAACACTGGTCAGCTGCTGCACTTTCAGCCAGGACGGCTCAAGAGGCTCATGGGAGCTTGCCTTTGTGTCTAATTTTGGGCTGGATGAACAAGAGGCTCTGGGAGACCAAAGCATCCGCAGCAGATGGAAACAGGCCCTTGAATGGTGGCGAACTGCAGGGGTGTTTGTGTTACCAGTCTCAGACTGACTATCACCACCCTTTCTGGCACGACTCAAGCCTTTAAGAGTTAATGCTGCGCCTTTACTTGAAAAAAAAAAAAGCAATATCAATTAAAAACAAAAGACAACATTTCTAATTTTCATTAGTTTAAGTTCTAAAACAACTAAATTAAAACAATAACTAAATTAAAGGCAGAGTAAGTGATTTTTCAAAAACGCTTTAAAAACTGATTCGGGCCGAATCACAAAACAAACTTGTAGCCAATCAGCAATAAAGGGGCGTGTCTACTCATGATGTGGAGGAGAGCGCGTTCAGTGCATGGGACGGACATTAGCCTAGCCAAGCCGAGATTACTAAAACTAACTCAAAATGAAAACAGAAAATACAAAAATGAAATCTAATTCAAAATATTAACAAAAATTAAATAGTGAAATTAAAATAACACTCCTGGAGCTTATTGCTCCATCCTAAAATACTGATTGAACAAAACATTTGATAGTTGAATACAAAACTTCATTAAAGGTACATATGTTTGGCAAACATACTAATGGGCCAAAGGATGCACGTGTTTGTATGTTTTATTAACTTATTTTTATTTATTTGTTTGTTTAATTTAGTTTACATTTTGCTCTTCTTCATCCCACTGGTTTTTCCGTGTTTATGTATGGGGGTTTTTTGTAGCTAAAACTTCTCTATTCAAGAATGGTAAGCGTACCATTAAGTTTACTAATGTTTTGTGGATTTACTGCAGATGAAGCAGGTTTTGTGGAAGCTCCGGCTATTGCACTGGATCTCCTCAGCATGGTAAACCGTCTTCTCACAGGCCGCACACTTGGCTCCTCCACCCCAATTTGGCATCTTCGGCTCTGGCAAAGGCATTCACAAAGATGGGAAAAGAGACGATCAATGCAAAACTGGCAACAACTAGAAAGAATGAGTGTTAAAAACATTAAACTAACACAGTTCAAATCTTTACCATTTGTTAAACACTGACAAAAGCTTCATTTATGTGGTATGTGACAGGTCAAATATAAAAATCGATGTATCCTATCTCAAAGTAATATGGCTCTTTCTATCTCATTTCTGTGAGCATCAGAATATCACCTCACTAGTGTGGAATGCAATGGTAACGGTCCAGAAATAGAACTTTTGTTAGTGCCACTGCCAGCTTACAAGAAATGACTGCTTTGTAGTGTGACTAAAAGACTACAATTCTGTAAAATCTGTTTGAATATTTACATTACCATTAGTGCTGTCAAACGATTAATCGCGATTAATCGCATCCAAAATAAACGTTTTTGTTTGCATACATCCTAAAATACTGATTGAACAAAACATTTGATAGTTGAATACAAAACTTCATTAAAGGTACATATGTTTGGCAAACATACTAATGGGCCAAAGGATGCACGTGTTTGTATGTTTTATTAACTTATTTTTATTTATTTGTTTGTTTAATTTAGTTTACATTTTGCTCTTCTTCATCCCACTGGTTTTTCCGTGTTTATGTATGGGGGTTTTTTGTAGCTAAAACTTCTCTATTCAAGAATGGTAAGCGTACCATTAAGTTTACTAATGTTTTGTGGATTTACTGCAGATGAAGCAGGTTTTGTGGAAGCTCCGGCTATTGCACTGGATCTCCTCAGCATGGTAAACCGTCTTCTCACAGGCCGCACACTTGGCTCCTCCACCCCAATTTGGCATCTTCGGCTCTGGCAAAGGCATTCACAAAGATGGGAAAAGAGACGATCAATGCAAAACTGGCAACAACTAGAAAGAATGAGTGTTAAAAACATTAAACTAACACAGTTCAAATCTTTACCATTTGTTAAACACTGACAAAAGCTTCATTTATGTGGTATGTGACAGGTCAAATATAAAAATCGATGTATCCTATCTCAAAGTAATATGGCTCTTTCTATCTCATTTCTGTGAGCAGCAGAATATCACCTCACTAGTGTGGAATGCAATGGTAACGGTCCAGAAATAGAACTTTTGTTAGTGCCACTGCCAGCTTACAAGAAATGACTGCTTTGTAGTGTGACTAAAAGACTACAATTCTGTAAAATCTGTTTGAATATTTACATTACCATTAGTGCTGTCAAACGATTAATCGCGATTAATCGCATCCAAAATAAACGTTTTTGTTTGCATACATATATTATACTAATTACCATTCATTTGGGTTTTAAATGTTTTTGAAAGAAGTCTCATATGTTCACCAAGGATGCATTTATTTGATGCAGTAAAAACAGTAATATTGTGAAATATTATTACAATTTAAAATAACTGTTTTATATTTGAATATACGTATATTTGAAAATGTAATTTATTTCTGTAGTGCAAAGCTGAATTTTCAGCATCATTACTCCAGTCTTCAGTGTCACATGAATCTTCAGAAATCATTCTAATATGCTGATTTGCTGCTCAAGAAACATCTGAAAGCAGTTGGGCTACTTAATATTTTTGTGGAAACCAAGATAGAGTTTTACATAATTCTTTGATGAATAGAAAGCTTCCTTTTTGAATGATAGTAATTTCTTTCAAATAACAAAATCCCATACTTTTGAATGGGAGTGTAACTTTATTAATCTCATAATGATATTCTCTTTACACATATTCTACTTTGTAAGAAGGAAAGGTTTAGTAATGTCACGACTATTGAATCAATATCAATTAATAACTTTCACATAACGGACAATATCATTAACTTTCATTAAAGAGTCATTAACAGAGCTTATATGTAACACATGCTCATTTAATGTACATTCAAATGTAAATATATTTGTTACATGATCTGTCTAACTGTGAATGCATTATTATTACCTGTTTTTTTATTATGAATTATAATATGGTGTAATTTCATTTTTGTTGATTTTATTGATGAAAGTCATAAGAGTTACCCTATCATTATTACTCAAATAAAACCTGATGAATTCTTCTAAAATCACTTTTTACAATAGTTCTCATTTCCAATGAATATTTTTATGTAAAATATTTATGATTACATTACAGCACAAATGATGAAGCCATTGGTAAACATAAAAATGCAAATGTTTAATTTCTACTTACACAGGTTATATAAGAAATCTTTTTCTGGAAATGATGCTTTCACCTCTGTCCAGCTCAGGGTCCTGATGATGTCCATTTCTGACCCTCTTTGGCGGGGCTTTATATACTGGGCATCACTCCCTCACCTCCACACACACACACTCACTCACTCATAATTTCAAGAGGACCAGGAGGCCGTGCTGACATTCAAATTGGTCCATCCTCCTAAATTAACTGCTGACAATACACAGATGCAATGCAGTTGCAGTGGCCTCCAGTCCTGAGCTCAGATATTCAACAGGCTCTGGAGCATTTGTTCAGCGCTTTAAAGGCTTCAGTGCTCAACTTAGTTTAACAACTGTGTGAGAAGTTCACAGGCTGAATAGCCTAAATATTGGGAAGAATTCATATAGGCTGCATGTACACTAAATGTTCTGGATGACTGATTATTAAAACTGATGATGACAGTTTTTTGTTGTTGTTTTTTTTACCGTTAACCGTTTCTCTGCCTAATTGCAGTTATTTTATGCTTTGGATGATTATCCAAAAGAACAGTCTGTATTTTACAGGCATAATTTCTATAACTACTTTGTATTTGATGCGGCACCTTGCACATAGTCTGAAAAATTATAACGTTTAGACTTAATTCTAATTAGTAACATTATTTCTCTATAATTTAATTTAACTTAATTTAATTTACTGTTTAACCTAATTCAATTGTCTTTTTTCTTTCTTTTTTTTTATTCAGTGGAATAGGAATGGCATTATTAGCCAAAATTACGGATATGCTCTTTGGCATATAATGACAATGAATGGGAATATACAGCAAATATCTAAAAACCCATTAAAGTGTTATATTCATGCACAATATTCCAAGTCTTCAATAGCTATAATAGTTATGTGAGGAAGTTACAGGGCCTACAGGCTTTAACTCGCCGTTCACTGAAAATATAGCACCGATTGCCCATTTACGTAACGATACATATGTAGATTTGTTTACTTACAGCCGGAAGTGCAGCGCGCTTGATACCATATAAGGAGAAGAAGAGGGAGGAGAAACTGCGCAGAATGCTGAAGATGGTGACGATTAGGTGCTTTATGTTCTTGCACTTCTTTATTTTGTTTACTTTTTTAAAGTGGTTTTTGGATGCTTTATATGACACAGTGAATGTTTGTAAGATTTTGTACTTCAATAAAAAAGAAAAGGCTGGGTTTTGAAGAATATATGGGTGAATATATGGTGGCTATACACTATTAATACGTTTTGTTTTAATTCATTGATGTATTACAAAACTGAAATACATTGCGTTCTGTAAAGATGTGGGTTCGGCCAGCCTCGTGGCCTAACGGTTAAGTCGTCTAATTTCAGATCAGAAGATTGCAGGCTCGAATCCTGCCGGGGTCGTATCTTTAGGGTCATTGTTATATAACGGCAAATAAATCCTGAAATAGCTACCCAACTGCTGGAGAACTCCTTCATTGCACAGTTTAGCGCCAACACACATCTGACGCACCTGAAGCTCTTGACTCTAGTTCGGCCAGCCTCGTGGCCTAACGGTTAAGTCGTCTAATTTCAGATCAGAAGATTGCAGGTTCGAATCCTGCCGGGGTCGTATCTTTAGGGTCATTGTTATATAACGGCAAATAAATCCTGAAATAGCTACCCAACTGCTGGAGAACTCCTTCATTGCACAGTTTAGCGCCAACACACATCTGACGCACCTGAAGCTCTTGACTCTCAGGTGTCCAGGATTGGCTAAAAATTAGACAGGTGTGTTGAAGTAGGATTGGAACTGAAATCTGCAGGTAGCTGGATTTCCATGAGCAGAGTTGTCCCCGATGGTGGTAATTAATATATGGCTTTGCAGATATATATAATTCAGTGAAATGATAGTGTGTAAACTGAACTAAACTCAGGGTCCAACATTCTTCACTCCGTTCATGTAGCATAAATGTAATGGGCTGTGATTGATCATCCAACTCTAAACTGGTGTTTATATGGTGATATATTAACTGTATTATCGCATTTCTGTCTACATAGAATCAGAATCAGAATCAGACTGAATATAATTGAATATAGTTAATATATATTATTTACAAATTTACTGTCAGGTATAAAGTATGCTAACATAAAATGACACTATATAGCAAATCTAAACTGCCTGATTTTTTTAATTTAGTTCCAAAATGTAACTTAGATATGTAAGCATGTAATGACAAATAATGATTTGATTGTGTTCAAAGTTAGGCTTACTTCAAAGTGATGATGATAAGTTTAAAGTCCGCATGAAATCAAAATTGACTTTATTTACTTTACTAGCGCACATTGCTAGTCTTGATGTGAACAATTAATCCGTGCAAGTTAATCCACTGAAAAAAATTGTTTATCTTCTTGGTAATCTTTAATCAAAATCTGAACATTTGCTTCCTCTCTGGAATGACATTCCTTCTCTGATGACGGCTTGGGCAGAATATCCTTAAACACACCCCTCTAACCGTTAGCGCAAAAATAAAACCACGCCCTCTCCTCAGTATTCCGTTTCAGCTGGAAATAGGTCACTTCACTGAAATAAAGTCGGCAGCAACTTCCGGTTCACGCGGACTTACCGGGGGGGTGAATAAAGGCATCCTGTAGCGAATCTATGCACTTTTGTAAGATAAATATCCATATTTCAAACGTAATAAACACTTTTTTCTCACTTCCGCTGACTGTGGTACGCGGAAGACATGCAGATGGATGACGTAAGACGTATGCGTCGTGCGCGCCTCTGAGAAATGCAGGAGCAAAGGAAACAAAGTTTCTTACTTTAGCAAAGGAAAACCAGTCTTCTCTTGGCTTATATCGAAATCCTCCGACATTCTTCTTTACAAATCCTCGTTTTGTGCTTCTAATTCGTGAAAGGCGTTTTATTTTGTTTTGTCTCCACGTTCGTCACTAATCACGCAACGCTGACATCTTACGTCATCTGCCGGAAGGGCTTCCGCGTACCACATTCAGCGGAAGTGAGAAAAAAGTGTTTATTACGTTTGAAATACGGATATTTATCTTACAAAAACACATGGATTCGCTACAGGAGGCCTTTATTCACCCACCACCCCCCCCACGCGCACTTTATTCACGTCTTCTGAACTGTTGACAACCAACACCCCATTGAAAGGCTTGGAGGGGCCAGGACATTTTTTAATATAACTCCGACTGGATTAGTCTGAAAGAAGAAAGTCACATACACCTAGGATGCTTTGAGGGTGAGTGAAACACAGGCTAATTTTCCTTTTTGGGTGAACTAACCCTTTAACTTTTGGCAGCGGCTATTTACACTGAGTGAAAATAGCATATTTTCTTAGCGATAGATGCTATTTACACTAAGTGCAAATAGCTATAGATTCTATTTACACTATGTTAAAACTATGTTCTGCTATTTATACTACTTATTGCAAATAGTGCCAATTATCTGCACCTCAGTATTGTAGTACATTATAAAACAGAATGCGATAACTTATTAAGTGTAAATTTTAATTCAAGTTATTAAATGGATGCCACCTTATTGGGACAATAAAGCCCTCCCTACACGTACCCTAACCCTACCCTATACTTTATTTTCAAATTTTTGGTTATTTCCTTCATTTTTATTGAAAATAAATGCTTTTCTGATGTTATTTGAAATTGAAAAAGGGAGAAAACAAGTTCGCCAAAAAGGCGGATTCGAACCCGGGTCGATCGCGTCAAAAGGAACACAACACACGCTTTACCACCTGTGCCACTAAAACTGACAACTAACAACCAACAAGGCGGGCTATTTGCACTTACAGGTGCATCTCAATAAATTAGAATGTCGTGGAAAAGTTCATTTATTTCAGTAATTCAACTCAAATTGTGAAACTCGTGTATTAAATAAATTCAATGCACACAGACTGAAGTAGTTTAAGTCTTTGGTTCTTTTAATTGTGATGATTTTGGCTCACATTTAACAAAAACCCTTTTCCACGACATTCTAATTTATTGAGATGCACCTGTAATGTAAATACACTCTTAACTTTTTTTACTGACTTTGATATGACGTGTGCTCCACTGTAAATTAATCATGTCGGTCTAAAGTAGTTGTAAAGACATTCAAAGTATATGAAGTCTTCTTGCTCATTTTCACATTGGAACTGAGTTAATAAAATTAATTAAAAGTTAATAAAAATTGTAATATCACAAGTTTTTAACTTCGAAAAAACAAGGAGTTCTAAGAACTTTGGATTCATTGAAATATACTGATTCACTAAAATTAATCATTGCTTGAAGACATTCATAAAGATAAAGAAATTTCAGCGATGAAATAGTGGAAGGCATTTCCTCTAAACATTTCACCAACAATGAAATAAACAAGAGTGGAGCACATTCATTTATCTTTATTACATAGAAATCAGATTGTAAAGGCAGTTCAAATAAATGATGTGCAGATAGTAATATTACTAGATTTCATTAACATAAAATACATCTACAATATTTAAAAACACCCTTAATCTAACATTCTCCCATATTAATACATCATAACACAATGCCAAGTTATGGCAATTTAATATACTGTGGTACTTTAACACTTTAAGGTGATGCCACTCACAGCTATTTAAAAAAATCGTAAAAATTTGGCAATTCCTACAATCTCTGAAATTAGATTTCCTTAACAACATTTGATCATTTTTTTCTCATTCTTCCTTTTTTAACCCTAAATTTACAGCATATTTAAAGAAAACCCTTTATTTGGCAAATAAACCCACAACTGTCTTGGTAAATAGTATAGCACCATGTTTGCTGTCCTGCTTTCCTCAAGAGCCTCAGCAGTAAAAAGCATCAAGCACCACAGACTAATGTGAAGTTAATGCAGACCCTACTGTAAAGTAACAATATAAAAAGAGGAAAACATAAAAAAACACTCAAAGACAAATAACAAGCACACACAATGGCTCAAACAGAACAGTGGTTTTTAGCAGCGTAAGGACTGCAGGTGTGATGATCGTCAGTGTGAAGGTCTTAGGTGTCCTCTGGACTCACATCAAGCTTTCTCTGAGGGATGTAGATGTTTCTGGGAGCCGCGGTGTTGGTTACAGTAGGAAAGGAGACGGGCGTGTGAAAGAAACTCTGCTGGAGGTGTTGACAGGCACCTTCAGGTGTGGTTACTAAAGGCTGCAGGAGAAAGAGAGTAAATATGCGAAAAAATAAATAATTTTTTTTTTCATTAATGAAGGAAAAAAAAAAAAAAATCATACTGACACCAAACATTTGAACGGTAGTGTAGGTCAAACTAAATTTCGTTTTCGAGCAATAGGAAAACTAACTTTAATGTGACTTGAATGGGCATATACTACATACATAATAAAATGTTTTTATTTATTTAAAGAAATCCTTGATATTTTGTCATTGGCCAATATTGGTGTTTTTAACAATTTGAAGCCAAAAAATATTTTATTTTACTTTTTCTATTCCAGGTTTCCTAAAAACATAGTTAAGAACAACAGTTAACTATTTTGTCTAATGTAGATTACAATATTTAAACAAATTATAACATTAGTTATATTAGTAAAAAAAAAAAAATCATAATATTATAACTTCACTTACACTATGTAAAACTAGATTTATTTATTTTTTTTTACAAAAGTGGATTGCTGACTGTATATTATCCCTTATGCTTTACTTTTTCCCATATTGTTTCATAGCTGCCGTGGCTGTACCTGTGGTATGCTGATGAGGGTGACGGGCTGCCCGTGTATGGAGGCCGGCTGCAGAGCTCGGGCAGGTGAGATGGGCTTCACAAAGATCATGCTCTGTGGAGGGAGCCCCAGGTGGGGAGACGGAAGCATGCTGGCCTGCTCAGGAGTGGAGTTTGGTGTGCTGGTGCCGGGGATAAGGCCCAGGTTCTGCAGGGTGAAGTTGAGAATGGCAGGACTGGGGCTGTGGATGCGATGCCCTTGAGAAGGCAAGGGAGAGACGGACGGTATCCGGTGGAGAGGGAACCGGGTGGGGGTAACTTCTTGAGGAAGTGGATGTCTGGAACCTGGAAAGAACAGATACACCAGTGATTGTTCAATTCGTTACGTGCATGTTTAACTGTTTTTCACCATTAACACATGAATAGTGCTCATGAATTGCCATATATCACAAATTTGCATTTTTGTAGTTTACACAGACACAATAATGGTATCATTTTCAAAAACTTGCACTATGAAACCCATTTTCAAATGTTTAAATTTTTATCCTCCCAAATGCGGTTAACATGTAATGAATGGCCACAATGCATAAAAAGTTTTCTGTTTTCAGTTGAAAATGCCCCCCAAAACTAACACAGTTTACTCACAAATAAGGTTTACTCTACCTAAAATCAATATTTGATCAAAGAAATATAACTAGAAAGTATAGCTAGAAAAAATTACTTTCCCACCCCCCAATCCTTCTATAGTAAAATATACAGATTTTTGGTATAACCTTGGGAATTGGCATACCTGCAGTTGGGGTGTGATAGACGTTGTATGTTGGTGTGGAGGCTTTGGAGCTTTCTCCAGTGGAGCATTGGGGATCTCTGAATTTCATGATAGACTGCTGGGAGATCGGAATCAAATAACCTGCGGGGAT